CCCTTCCAACTCAGGATATTCTATGATTCTATGATTCTATGATTTATTCTGTGCCGAATGAAACATGGACAAGACTTCCCAGTTCATAAGTGGCACCTTCTTCTGCTCCTCTCATAACTTTCTACGTGGACATAACAAACTACATCAGCCAACTCCACAGACTTCGGTTAACATCAGCTTTTCCCAGAATTGTGGGCTGCAGTGACACATCCCCTTTCTGTTGAAAAGGAGGTGTGTGGCCTCAGCCGGTCTTGCAAAATAACGGGGAAGAGTCCAGCACGGGGAAGAGTCCAGCTCCAAGCACCCCGAGGTTCAGCAAAGTCCCTCAAAGCAGCAGCCTGCTGGAGGGGCCAATGGTGGGTAACTCCGTTGCTGTGTTATGCCTGTCGTAAGGGGTCAGTTGAACAAATACACGCCCTGAGGGTATTTACTCATGTTATGCCATTTCTGAACAGGCTGCTCTTGATACATAATCACAGGTTCAATTGTTTGGTGTTATTTTGAAAGACAGGCGGGTTTTGACTGAGGAATATTTGGAAACTGTATTTAACATTAGCAGCCTGGTTTTCTTCTTATCTAGGTTTTGTTACAATACTGGCTTATTTCTGTGGTTACTTCTGCCATTATTTCACACTCCCAATTCCACTCTTGAAATGAACCATAGCTGCTATCAGAAATACTTTAAACGTTTCAAGCCCTTTTTGGTTCATGAACATAATAGCTAGTAATTCATTGTGGGTACAGTTAACTGTAATTGCAAAACTACACCCACCTAATTAGAGGCCAGCCTGAGGCAAAAATTGAACTGAGTCAAAATAATGGACTGATGTGAGTTTAAAATAACTTTATTGAACTAAGTGGATTTCAAGGACTTATATCAGCTGAAGGACTGAGCCTCCAGTGGTTGCAGTAATATTTTTAGCAGAAAGTGAAAGGAAATGTCTCCGTTTTCTTCCTTTTCTAGGCACATCATTTAAGCATTATATGTGGTTATAAACAGGAATGGATCCAAGTCACAAAACGTATAATCTGAATTGCAAATAGGCATTACTCATAACTGCTCTAACTCCGCAGGCTTCAGATGAGCGCTAGAAATCGAGACCATATGCAAAGTGACAGACCCAAGCTCTTGATCTGCCTGCAATGAAAAAGGTTTGCTGGAATAGTTATAGTGACAAGCCCTCAACTATAAATGCAGTTTATATCAGGAAGAGAGTTTCTAGAACAAAATAAATTACACAAGCACAGGGGATTCTGGGTAACTATAACAAAATCCTTGTTATATCTTTTGCTGGTAACAGAAATACCACTTAAGAAAAAGAATAAAAATCACAACCTCTACCAATATTGCTACACAGACAAGTCTACTGCAGGCCTGGCCTCCAGCTTCAGAAGAGCCCATCCACTACATTTGGATCAGCTGAAAATAGGTTCTGTATGAAGCTCACTGCCAAATGCAATTTGACTCTGCTGAATGATAAAAAACTCCTTCTGGGCTAATACAGTAAGAATATGCATTGCAACAACCCAGCTACAGGGCGCTGGTCCTGTAATTCTTGCTTTTTGCCTTGCTTTTAGCTCAGAAGGTCCCTGGACCAGTCCTGAGTGCTTTCAATACTTTTCCACCTTGGTTTCAGAAATCATGTAGAGCAGGAGCAGCCTTAGGTCTCTCAGCCCTCTTTCTAGCAGTGACGGGCAGTGCCAATGGGGCTTTTGAAATAGCTGAAAGCTAAGGCTTTATACAGGTCGCAACTCATTCAAAATCGGTACTTACTCAAGTGGGTAATGGCTGATGAAGTCATGTAAGGAGGGCTCCTCCTGGGCATAGTCACCTCAGACACAGCAGCATAAGGGGGAGGCAATGGAAGACAGCGTGACGTGGGCTGACACCACTGCTGTGCAGGACGAGATGATGGATGGGAGGATGGGGAGGGAGCCTGGCCAAAGGAGCTGGGGGGGCTGGCAATGGTGGGCAGCGGGGAGGAAGGTGCAGCTCCTATGTGTGGAAAGAAGGACCCGTCCATGCTTTTCACCTGGGTCCCAGAGGAGCCTAAAGCAATTTGTTCTTCAGGATGGCCATTCAGAGGTACGTTTGCTGAGGTCTCCTGCCCTGCTTTATCTGTGGATCCCTTGGCCCTGTCAGGCAGGACAGGAATCACGGGCAGGATGGTGGGACCAGGTGGCTGCAGGATGTCACCTCTCTGTGGATGTGGTGCGTTTGTGATGGGGCAAGCAGAAGACCAAGGAGAGCAGGAAAGAGAAGAGCGCCTGAAAGGCTGGCGAGAGGCAAAGGGAAAGTGGGAAGGATGGGGAGGTGGTGGAGACAGTGACATTCGCCTGATGCCTGGTGTTATGGTCCTGCGGTTTGGGCAGGCTGGAGGAGAGGAACCTGGGGCTGTTGGCAGTTCGGAGGCCGAGTGCCTGTGCAGGAGCTGCGGGGGCTCTCTGGCTCTCCGCAGGGATCTGAAAGAGGACTGACTAGCGGGCTCGGGGACAGCGGGTGTGGAAGAGACAGCACTGGCATGAGAGGTGTGTGGGGGCACAGCACCGGGGGAAGGAGCACCGCAGTTACTGCAGGCAGGAGGAGGAGACTGGGGCTGAGAGGGGGGAGAGCACACGCTTATCTGAATGGTGGAAACTAAAAGAACAGAAAAGACAAATGAAAAGAGTAAGATGGGTATGTAGTGAGGAATGAAACCAAGGCAAAGCGGAATGCAGAAAAAGGAACCGCAAAGTAAATGCAAACAGAAACTTGAACAGAGCAAAGAGGAGATGGTGCAGGCACTGGCTCGGGGGTTTCCAACCCTCGGCAGAACCAGAGGGCTGTGCAGAGCAGGACCCTGGCAGCACGGGACAGGCTGTGTGCTCCAGTGCCAGTGAGGCTCCTCCAAGCCTTGTGTGAATCTGAGTCAGGATCACAAGCACCACTCTTGCACTAGGGGCAGCTGCAAGGGATACAATGAACACAGTGGTGGCCACCTGGTAGCCAGGGAGGGGACAGTCAGAACTCCCGGGAGCCACGTCCTTCTCTTTCCAGATGCCAAGGCAGGATTTTGGCTATATTCCCTATGCAGAACAGGACACAGTGATCTCTGCCCTAACAGAGTCCAGCAACTTCTGTCGCTAAGGCATGTGTGTATGTCTTAGCTGGTTTCGAGTCAAAAGCAACTAAAAAGTTGTAACAACTGAGGAAAAACATTTCACTTATGTGGCCAGATTAACTGAAAAAAACCTCCCCAAAACAAAAGTCCAAACACAAGATGGCCATCTTGGTGCGCTTGCTGCCTTCTTACACAGAAGCGAAGCCATGTTTTGTAGTTACAAGCTATTCCTGTCATCTTTTCTCTCAGCTTTGTGCAACTTATTATGCTATAGAAGATTTTCATAAGCTCATTAAATATGTATATATATTTTTTCCATTAAGCTCACAGAAGACTCCTCACATCATGACCACAAAATCCCCACTGATGAGCATCTAGAGGTCTATTTTCCTCTGCACTGTCATTTGCTCTGTGCTGCAGAGCGATGGGGAGCGCCTGACCTGGCACATCCAGCACCTCCACCCTCCCTGCTGACATCCCCCAGCAAAACAAAGTCACTCTTGCGGTGGCCGTGCTACCTGTTCTCGTGGATGTGGAAGAAGCACAGCCAGGCTCCCCTGATACGCCTAAAATCCCCCTCAGCTGTACAAGTTTTGCCAAGCACAAAACCTGGCTAGCTCTACCTGTGTGCCCTGGGCCTGAGCCTCTCTGAAACACCACAACCATGACCAAATGCATGTAAGTCTCTAGCTGAAAATGCTTTAAAATCTAATCATAACTATAACCACTTTTAGCAGTATAGCTCTTGTATAGCACCATGCAAAACCCAACTACAGCTAGAGGACACAAGCAAGGAGAGATTCTATCTGCTTGGTTTGATACGTGCCTGTGGTAGAGGTTCTTCTTTCCAGAGATTCCTGGCGCTGTTGCTGTTGCTCCATCACTTGTCTAAAACAGCAATGAAAAAAACCTTGGTCATTATGTATTCTTTATTATTTTGAGTAAAAGCTTTATACACTGAGAAGCACTCAAGCTGTATGTCTTCTGTGCTCAAGCTGTATTTGCTCACAGAAATGCCGTTCCCGTGAGATGGAGGTGGGTTTGATTTCACTTGCCCTGGCCGCAGTGGTGCCGTTGCATGTGTTGGACAAGCGTAACCATGGCTGTCCTGCACCTGCGGGAACTGCAGGGGCTGGTTGGTTCATTTAAGATAACTCCTCAACGGGCTCTGCAGGAGGAGTAGTCAGTGCCCCAGGTCCAGGAGAACACAGCAACCGCGTATGTTGTTAACCTGAAGTGCATGAATGTTGCAAGGGAAGAGTATGGGGTGTCTTGCATAAAATGACAGTCTCAAGTATTTTATGGATTGGGATCCCAAAGGATTTGTAGTTAAAATGAAAATATAAGGATGCTTGATCTGCATTTAGGCGCTGACTGTACAAAATCTGGTTTGTCCAGCTGCACAACCTGGCTGACAGCCTGCCACCTGATGCCCCAGCACAGCCGCCCCTGTGCTGGTCCCAGCATGGCCATGGGAACCACGATCGCTGCATTTCCTCCACAAATGCAGATCACAACATTGCACTGCTGCTTTTTTGGCACCTTTCTCCCCAGGAGCTGCTGCTCCCGTGCTACCCAGGCCTGGTGTCCCATAGGGAAATGCACTGCCAAGCCTTTTCCCAGGGTCTGCTTTCCGGAGATGTGCAGTTCCCAGGGTCTATCAGCAGAGGTCTTCTCTCGCACGCTTTAGCGCTTCTGCAGAAAGCTGTCACTGACCCCTGCCACAAACCCTCCCCGGCATTTCTCTTGTTAAAAAGATTGAGAGCTAAAACCGAGACTATTTGCCAGGCTTTTTACCATGCACATGGATATGGACTAAAGATTTCACCAATAGTAAAACACAACTCTGAAATTACCTTACTGGAGCACTTGGTAATAAGGTTTATTATAATTTTCTCCCATGACTTCTAGACCAAGTTTGCCTTGAATTTGTTCCACATGTTTGGGCCAGTCTTAACTGCATAGAGATTTCTTTTTTTCTGTAACAACTTTACTTCATGGTCTGTACAGTAAGGCGAGCTTAACTCTAGGTAACACTTCTATTTTGACACCTTATCTAATATTTTAGAGACCTCACTGTTACATCTTTACTTATACTTTCCTTAGTCTGCAATTTTAAATAATTCTATTTTCTTACATACAAATAAAAGACTTTTTAGAAAAAAGTCCAGAAAAATAAAGTTATGTTATCTAAGGAAAAGAGAATGTCTCAATTTGCAAAACAAATTTCTCATATTTCAATTCTAATTCAATAGATGGGACAGTAAAATCCACAATTATAATTATTTGCTGTGGAGGGATCAATCCTAAACTGGGTTTACGTTCAGGACATGCAATCCATCGAACACTGGCAATTTCTAGAAAACCATTATAGGCAGCTGAGAAAATTATTATATGTGCAAAGGGGAAACAGTTTTGAGGAACAGCCTTCGTTGGCTGGTTCAGGTGGTTTCATTTAAGCTATGACACTTTAAACCAAATAAATAGAAATCTTTACTTCAATATATACCCTGGCTCTTACTTAGTTGAGGGGTGAACACATATGCAACAGCATCAATTGCACTGCTACAATTTCAATTGTAAGCACATGTACTAAGAATTTCCTAAGCATACCATCCCCTAACTTGGCTTGGCATTTATTAGTAAAATTTGATGATGAAGAACAACTTGACACATACATTTTCCTCGTTAAACCTGGGGGAAATTCTAGGTTTATCTAGAGGACAGACTTGGAAAACTCCAGCCTGACGGACCAGGAAAGAAATATGAGTAAGACGTCTCCAAGTTGTTAGAGCTGTTGCAGAGCAGATACAGGTGCGGGGTGCTCCCCAAAACAAGGGTCAGCCACTGCCATTTGAAGTCATTGGGGTTCATGCCAGCACTGTCCGTCCTGGGCAGAAGCCGTTTATACATGCTAAATGCACCCTCCCACGAGTGCTAAAAGGAGAAGTTCTTACACTCTTACAAAGTTGAATTTATTCCAGTGGAACTAAATAAAGCCTGAGATTGCACAAGGCTGCTTAAGGAGTATGCAAGGAGTAAAGTACAAGAGGGGACAAACTGCACTCTGAATTAAAAATATATTAACATTTGTGGAAAGGTCTCTAAAAAACCTTTTAAACAGACAAATTTGTAGGCTAGTTACCATAACTTCATTTCCTTTCCTGCTTATAAGATGTCAAAAAAAGCTAGGCCTAAAATTAGGTCTGCTCTATGCTTAAGGAATGCATCAGCATAATTAAAGCAGAAAATCCTCTAGTGCAGACGCAGTAATATCTAAGTGCATCTACTGGCATAGCTTATTGCAGTCCAGTGGAGCAAAAGAAGCTTTCCCAGAACCATGTGCCCTGTAGCAGTCGAATAATACCTACCCAAAAGACTTTGACTGTCTCTAAATGAAAAACAAGATTTTTTTTTTTTTTTTTTCTAAAGTAGTTAGGCTGCTCACACTTTAAATGCACAGACTAGACACCAAAATTTGAGGTGTGAATTACATATGGTCTGAAGAATCAGTGATTTCCACTGGTTAAGTGAAGAGCTGGATCAGGCCTTTCAGCCAGGCGGTGGGGGCAGGTGGCATCCCCCTGCCCCTGGGTGAGCAGGAGCTCTCCTCTGACCTGTATGACAGCTCTGCTACCCCAAAGTAAATCTTACAAACCTCAAAAGAAGTATCATTACCCACTGATCCATTTAATAGCCATATGTAAATCCCCACTAAATCTCAGGCCACTTGGAGTTATTCCTAAAGGCGCAGGAAACTAGTTTACCTACACTTTCCTTACAGATTTTGTTGCCCTACACTTTCCTTACAGTTTTTGGAGGGGGAAAGAGAGAATCCTAAGTACGTACCACAGCCTGTGTAAAGGCCTTGCCTTAAACGACCTACACGTGGTTTTGTGTAGGGACCAGTCAGAACGGTAGCCCTGGAGCATCAATGCAAATGATATATTGCAACACCTCATCCCTGCTGCTCCAGGAGCGTGTGGTATCGAGCTACAGAAGCCACAGGGCCAGGGCAGTCCCTGGACCCTGCAAGGGGGACCTGGCCTGCTCACAGGTTGCACCTACAAACAAAGGCAGAGCCCACCGAGCGCGTCATATCAGATGAACATCCGACATCTTTGGTGCTGAACTGCCCTGCAGGTCTGGTTCCACTGAAATCTTTACAGAGGTATTTATTAACTGAACCAAACACTGGGCCAAGTCCTCTGGAAGGCTAACCGCACTTGCTGATCCCCCTCTCGTTACAGAAGTAAAGGCAGACACTTTATTTAAGCAGTGCTGGTACCAAACTTGGAGCAGCGACAGGTCCTGCCGATTTCTGTACTCCAGCGCACTCCTGATGAAGTGATGCTCACCAGCTCATACATGTTACAGCAGAATATTCTCTGGCGTTTCTCACGCAGTAGCAGAAACACACTTGCAGTGAGCAGGAATATGGGGAACAAGGGTGCTTTTTTTGCGTGCACCAGCCTGTGCTTCAACAAGTAAATGCAAACTCGTTTAGAGCAAAACATTCATGAAAGGAACAGCACGTGGTATAGGAAGTAGCCATAGACAACCTGGGCCTAAGCTATTACTGTGAGGGTATCTGGTCCCTCAGATGCTCCCTGGGCAATGGGACTGTCAGCTGCCAGCAGGTGATCCAGAACAGGACCAGGTTAGGCTTTCTTAATGTGCCTGAGAAACACACACTCTACAAATTGCTTTTAAACATGTTTTGTCTTTAACTCTGAGCATCACTTGCCTTTGAGCAAAGAGTTTACCTAGAGCTTCAATTCACCTTTTAGAAGTCATTATGGAATGATTAGCAGTAATTACATAAAACTCAGAATCAGCTTAAAACGGGTTCAAGTAAAAAGAACAGTACTTGATGAGCAAGGACTGCACATTCATCCAAGTTACAAACTAGACCTCTACCATAACTGATTAACTCACCTTCTCTGTGCTTCCATCTCATCTGGAGATGGCCCATTCTGGACCTGGCGCTGGGCAGCTGGACCTACAGAAAAAATGAGAGAATGCTATTAGGAGAGAAAATGTGGCCAACTTTTTCAAAAAACAGTGCCACTCAGATTAATTGCTTCTCCATCTTACTATGAGAGATAAACCTCAAACATTACTGTCCTCTCTTTGCTTTATTTTTTTTAATTCATTTTTTCCTATTAGACAAATCATCGCCTCCCATAAATTTTTAGTCCCACTGGGAGAACCCAACAGCTAAATGTGTGAGCAGATTTGTCCAGAAACTTAGCATCGTGGTAGCTGCAGACTACATACTAATGCCCTGGTGACGGTGAAGACCTGTAATGTTGCAAAAGATGTCCTGTGGCAGGACAGTCCATCACACTGGGATGCATTTCTGGCTTCTACAGTTGTAGCCTCTCTGGATTACTCTGTGCTTGCAGAGTATGAGCATGTGAGCATACAGGCTAGCTAGCGCTCCTCTGATGCTGAGCTGGCATCAAGAAGCTACCTGATGGAAGGTGCAAGGAGATGCAAAGTTAAACAAGCCTTCTACAAAGGTGGCTTTTCTTTATACAACTTGGCTGGTCTTCTGTTTCTGGAGGATCTACATCAAGCTGAGCTTTCACTGGCATTCACCAACAAAACCCAACTACGCATGTCACCATTTAAGTCACATCTCCTCTCTTTACTCCGATCATTTAATCTCTGTTCTTGGACATTTAATCAAGTACACTGACACTACATACCATTTTCAGAAAGAAATAATTATTCTGAAAATAAAAATAATTGTTGGTAACATAAGCTGCAGTAGTCTTGCATTTGGTGGATGGAGGATTGTTCCATTGATTTGATGAGGTGGGTTTCAACTGGGACTAAACAGCTAAGAGTTCTATTAAATGGAACAGCAATTTTCCTGATTAACAGCACTGAGAAACAGATCAGTTATATGCAGGAAATTATTATGTCTAACTTATTTTTTTCATTTTAAAATGTAAAATTTCATCCTTTTAGAAGTTATCCAGCAGGAGCAAATCAGAATTAAACACTCACAAACCCAAATATGCCACTCACAAATCATTAAGGATATTTCTCTCCATTTTCTTTATGTGCTTCTGCCAGGCAGAATGTCATCTGAAAACAAATTTAGAAAGTATGACTGCGTGAAAACAGGAAAGATGGCAGAAAGGCATCGCAGTCAGAAATTCCAGAGTGTTGACTGATCCTGATGAAATTGTGCATATTTTTGAAATGTGTTTAAGGACCAACATTTGCAGAAAAGGAACTCAACACTTTCTGAGAATCAGGCCCATGTATGCCAGTTTTGGGTACCCCAAAAATGGAGCCAGTGACAACCACTAAGTCAAAAGCTCTGACATTTAAAAATATCTCAGGATAGGATATGAAGTGAAGACAGCTCACTTCTTTAATGTCTCACGACTGACAACTTAATATTGTTTGTCACAGGCCTTTGGCAAACTATTTAGACAGAACCGCCATGTTTTGTAAAGATCACACAAAACAATGAATGCGGAGGGAGAGGGTGGTTTTTTTGGAAGCAAGCCCCAGGAAAAAACTTAGCAGGTATTTGGGAAGCACAGAGCAGTAGGGAGCTGAAGGTGTAACGAGGATGCCCTGTTACTGCGTGAATGCCTGTACCGTGCGTCTTCACCACTGAAGTGAAAGAAGGCCAGAGCTACCCCTGAGCTGCACGTACAGACTGAATTTAAACTTCTTCTGAACACAGTAGGAATACAGGTAAGATCCCATCCCCAACCTGTGGAATTGGACCAGACTCCCCACAGTTGGCAGTGTCACCGGTTTGGACCCTGGCTCTGATGTGTGCAGGTAAACACACACCTTCTCCTATGCACTTCTGGGTGAAAGACTTTCAAGGCTTAAGTCAGATTACACCTCCCTTACCAGGTAACAAATTCCACCATGACAAGCCCTAGCCATGCCCATCACTGCATATGATTTCATCATGAGAAAACTTCCCTTGTATAAAGACTCAGAGCATCACACAGAAGCCAGCACTTTGCTTGGAAAGAGGACTAAAAGTAGAATCATAGAATCATAGAATGGTTTGGGTTGGAAGGGACCTTAAAGATCATCTAGTTCCAACCTCCCTGCCATGGGCAGGGACACCCTACACCAGATCAGGTTGCCCAAAGCCCCATCCAAGTTGGCCTTGAACACTTCCAGGGATGGGGCATCCACAGTTTCTCTGGGCAAGTAGGCACCAACGTGAACAGGAAAGGCCAGAGGATGAGGCAGCAGAAACAATTCTTCCCTGGCAATAAACCATGTCTAAGTATATAGGAGGCTCTAATGATGCCATCTTAATCTGCTACTTAGGCATGAATCTTCTCTTGGGGCCAAATACCCAGAAAAATGAGGCAGTGTCGGCAGTTTGACTAATACTAGACATGCAGAAGGAATCAAAGACCAGACTATCAAAACCACACAAAAAAAACCCAACTCCTTTTTCCTGTGGGCATTGTTATGAACTGGCTATGTAGGTTTAAAACCAAATAAATCCAACCAAATCAATTTGGAAAGTGGCCTAAAGAAATCCTTTTAAGGCAACATTAGAAAACACATCTGGAAATTAGGGTGGTTGCTTTTTATTACCTGGAGCTTTCTCAAGCTGATCTTACATAGCAGGCAGGTAAATGAAAGAGGATATGAATCTGCAAAAAAGTCCATCTCAATTTTTAGCACAAAGAAGTCCTAGTAAATTCCATGAGTTTACTTAGATTTTCCCGTATGTATGTGTACGTTTGCAGGATTAAGGACACACTTGAAACTAAGTACACAGTTTTGGTTGCAACACATGGTTGCAAAGCAAACACTGGCTTTAAAACATTTGTCTGTGGTACGGTAAATATCTGATATATTCTCAGGGCAGACCACAAGTCAATTCAGACAATGCTACTGGAAATTTTTTCCCGCACTTCACTGAACTTAATTTCAGTCCCTTATTCAGAGATGAGCTCTATGCATTAACAGTTCCTAATTCTTGTTTACATTAAGAACCACAACTGATTGTTTCAGTTGGCAGCATTTTGTTCTTCTTACTATTTGGTCATCCTGTGAAATGTCCTTAAAATGAAGCACATAAAGCTCCTAATTGAGTTTTGAAATTGTCAGTTTCTTCATAGTTTCTATTGAAATGCTCTCCTCTTTTGAAAGATAAAAACAAGAGAAAAAAGATCAGAAGTAAAGAAGATACTTCAGACCTGACTCAGTAACTAACCAACATTTTAAAAGTCTTTGCATAAGTGGTGACATTTACAGATATTTTTATTTGCACTTTACTTTAAAAAGCCAGGCAATTTTTTGGACACACGGGGTACATGACTACATGGCCCCCAAAATGCCTTAATTCTCTCTCCAATATCTTGAGACATGTAACAATTAGTGTTTTCTGAGTAATGACTAATTCCTCTCTTTTACAGGTTTAAATTTCTTACTTAAATCAACACACTGCAGCAAAACGTCACTCATTTATTTAAATCTTTTCCAAACTCATTTTTCTTATATTTCACTAGTGACCAGTAGTGAGACACTAAAGAAGTGAACTTCTGGTGGAGCTTCTTGTTTCGCTCACCCTAGAGCTTGCTTTTAGCATACTCAGCCAAAGCTCATCCAGATACTGAAGGCAGAGATTATTTTTACGCTTGGTTCTGTATGTGTATGCTCTGCCCTACACATACAGCAGACCCCTGTTTGACTGAGGGGTTTTTTAAATTCAGGGGGACTTCTAGGTTTAACTTCTCTCCACGTTTTTAGGTATTTCTCAGGCCTGAGCAGACATGAACAGTAAGCGCTCTTGGGGATGGCATCCTCATGTAAGCATGCTTCCCGAGCTGCCCTGCGAGCTGCCTCCAACCCCAGCAGCCTTTGGGAACAGCCTCATGGAGAAGAGCGCTTCTCAGCACGATAACCAGGAGAGATGGTTTTTCTACTGACCCGTTTGCAGCTTCACAGCTGTTGTGATCTACATTTTTAGCAACTAATTAATGCAGGAGATATACTGCGAATGTCAGTGTTTCCTTGCTTCGTTGCTTTGTAATAATTAACTGCGTTTTTATATAAGCATCTTGTGATTCAGCTCAAGGCAGATTTTGGGAGTACGCGGATGTTTTCTGGGTTTGCTTTTTCTCCTCCCACCCAGCCACGCCAGCACCCGCTCTGCCCTTCTCCAGCTGTCCCTAAAGATGGCGATGGGGAACTCCTGGCATAGGGCACTGCTTCGTGGTGGGTGTGATGGTTTCCATATGCTGGTGGCCGCTCCTGCACCACTGCACCCTGCTACTGCTGAGAGATGTTCACGTCTGGACCCATGGCCAGGCACAGAATAGGACCAAAGCTGTCACCGAGGGAAAAATCATAGAATCACAGAATGGTTTGGCTTGGAAGGGACCTCGAAGATCATTTAGTTCCAACCCCCCTGCCATGGGCGGGGACACCCTCCACTAGACCAGGTTGCCCAAACCCATGCTCGTGCTTCCACTCTGGCGTAGCGGCGGTGGGAAAGCAGGAGCAAGCAGGAACAATGCCGTCATTTCTCTCCTGCTGGGGCAGCCCCAAGCAGCGTTTCTTTTTTCCTCTTTTATTTATGCTACAACTGCAAGCACCACCAACTGCATGCACTCAATAAAGTGGCAAAAGTAGGCCCATTTCCCTGAGTAACCAGGATTTTGTGCTTCTTCAGTACAGAAGGCTCAGTCTAACCCACTTACGGATCTTTTATTCATTATACGCGCTGGAAGCAGCCCCCAAGGTGGGGTTTCTGCAACCCCTATAGCCTTCATGGTGCTTATGGACCAGTGTGATGAACTGTGGTGGGCTGAGGAAAGGGTCCAGAGTCAGAACTGAATAAGAAATATATCTGGGCTTTGAATTTATGAGATGATTGAAAATTTTTGTTCTGCATATGAGCAGAACATGATGATTTTGTGTGGGAAAAAACCACAGCAGACAATGGGAGGCAAAGAGGTAACAGACAGACAAACAGCTCTCCCTCATTGC